AAGACCTTTCAATGGATATAAATATTTTTGACCTTGACCTTTAAGTTTGACCCACTTTTTAAAAACTTTAACCTTGGCCATAATTTGTTAATGGTTAGTGATTGGGATTTCCTATTTCACAGGTATATTCATTGAGAAGTCCTTTCTTTGGGTAAAAACATTTTTCATCCCTTGACCTTGGAGTTTGACTTGCATTTGAGAAACTTCAACCTTTGTCAAAAGCTGTCATACGGGTTCATCAGTGTTTCACCAAGGCATCTTGTTCTTCTCGTGTTGAAGTTTTGAATTAATTCTGCCTCATGGGAATATAAAAACAGGTCGGCTAATAAAGGAGCAAAATTAGTGCCCATCGAATTTCTATAAGATTGTTGGAAGACCTTGTCTCCAAAGACTACATAGATACATGTATTATTAATGTGGAACTTTAGCATCTTTTTAATATCAGCTTCAGAGTACTTGTGTGTAGAATCAGAATGATTTTAACAAAGTAATTTTGTAGATGACTAATTACAAGTAGGGATGTCAACGAATAGTCGACTATTCGACTATCAGTCGAATGGACCGACGATCGAATAATGAAACGACATTCGAATATTATTATTATTAAATAAATTCAAAAAGAGAGTGATAACGAGATGGAATTTTCATCAAAAATTGAGAAACCGTCTTTCCTCGGAGACAGTCGATAAGATACTTTTCCTCAACAAAAAATGTTTTATTTTCCATGTACATGTATGTATAGAAAGTACAGTAATAACAAGTGCTTCACCACTGCGATAATCATTTGTAAGTAACTGCCTGTGTTGTTTTTGTAATAAATTACCCACCAATATACTGGGCTTTGTTTGTAAAATTATTAGTTGGACTTGATCTTATACCGTGTACCAATTATCTTTTGTTATTTTAAGATTGAATTGCAGGGAACAAACCATAGCTGTGTCATGTTTTGTCGATAATCAATAAAACAATTTGCTTACATTTTAAACTGTTTAAGGACATTTTTAATGCTTACTAAAATAAAAACTGACTGCATGTACAGACCGATATATGAATTCGATTGACGGGAAATCATACATTTTGCAGAATTAGGTTTCTTAATTTATTTCATATAACCATGCTATCCACGCGTTGCGTTGCAGTAATTTTGATGTTATTTTTTAAAATAAAGTTTAGTAAAACGGTTTTTGAGTTATAAATACGTCATGTACCAGTGAAGTTTGAAATAATTTTTTTTTTCAGAAAATATTCCGAATATTCGACTATCGTTCGAATAATACAATCGAATAATCGACTAAGGAAAATAAATATTTTGACATCCCTAATTACAAGATATGAAAATTTACGATTTTTTATATGAAGGAAGCAGTTGTCTATGATGTTAAAAAGTCCGCTCCTTGATTTCTCGTGAAGAATTGTAAAATATGGATAAAGCGTAGAAAAGTCATGTGTTTTGATGCTATTAATGTTTGAAAAGTTTTGAGACTTTAAATTCAAAGTTCTTTGAGTATATGGTGTAGCACAATACGTCTAACGTTTCTCCTTCACAGCAGATAATATTAGTTGATAGTATTAGATATCTCTAAAATAAGTGTAAGGCCGTTCTTATACGTACGAGCATAAAATGTTAATCGTGTAAACAAATCTCGATATTAAGATTATCAAATAGTACAAATATCATTTCTGCTTTAACTTTCAGTAAGGCGTGATATTCTCGGCTATACATAATTAGCGTCTCTCAAATAGTGACGTAGATTCTCATTGGTTGCCTGATTAGCTCATCAAAATTTACCGAAATTTACACAGCTTTTCATTCACGGGTGAAATACAAAAGGGATAAAAATGGTTCAGACGTCAACGAGTGACGCAAGGAACCAATACATTGTTTCTTACAGTAAAGAGGTGTGGCTTATGTCATCTCATTGTTTGTTAACAACTATCTTAAGTTGCTAATGTTAATTAATTTCTTAACCAATGAGAATCTAGGTCACCATTTGAGAGACGCTAATTATGTATCGCCAAAATTGTCACGCCTTACTGAAAGTTCATGCAGAAATGATATTTGTACTAAGGATACAAATATCCTTAAAAAAGGAAAGAGGGGGGTTTGACTGTGACAGTTCTATAGATGAGGTTTCAATAAAAAAAAATATTATATAAAAATATCTTACTGCAAAAACCTTTCTTTTTGAAATAGAAAATTAAGAGTTGCGCTTAAAACAGCCCAAAATTTAAAACATCAAATGTAACAGATGTAAATGAAAGCTTGTAATTTACAAACACTTTCATAATGGAAAATATATGGTGTTGCAAGTTTTTAGCAGACTCTTGATAGTCTAACAATAAACGCATTAACGCAATATGGAATTGACAAAGGATATTGTAAATTTACAGATAACTACTTCTCAACTATTTTGAATTGCATTTGGGTATGTTTATAAAGTCATGAGAAATTTAAAACGTCCGGTCGATGTCTTTATAAACTGCCTGTACACGTATACATTGCCAGATTTGATATAACCGTCATCTGTGATATGAAGCTGTTGTTCATCTTGGTAACTTTCGGCTGTCAGGTTTATGTTGAGGGAAGGTAAAACAATTTTTTTTATGGTTTTGTTTGGCTTTTTTGCACGTGTTTATGACATATTTTGATGTAATTAATGATGATGATGTTAACGTAATAATAATAACAACTACAATAATAACTTTCAAATATTCCAACTAATTACGGAGTATTTATTTCATTCTTGAAAACGCATCGAAATTGAACAACTGTCAATCAAGACTTAGAGCTTGTTTCCTCATTTAGCTAAAAGCTTTGCAATAATACTCCTCAAGGGTTGAAGGACATAAATTTAGATTTTTTTTATGGAAATCATGAAGAGAAATCACAATGTTATGTAAATGATTTATTAAAGAACCGAGTAAATTTTCAAAACATTGAAAAATCTAGCGATTCTGTTTGCGTAGAAACAAGGGTGTCCGCAGTACCAATGTACATATACTTATACAGCTTCGTCGGTCTGTAATAAAGTAGCATGTTCCCTTTATTCCTAACTTCTTCAAGGAACTTTTGTTTTGATAATTCAGTCTACATGCACATGTACCTTTGAAGTAATACATAGTTTAACTCATTCCAGCGAAAAGATCAAAAGAGGTTTTCTTGTTCGTGTGTCTACCTGCCTATCACCCCGTCTATCTCTTAACGTTTCATTTCTCATGTTTTTCTCCGGAACCACTGTCATATCTTAACTATACTTTGCAGAAAACAACCTCTTACCAAGGAAATTCGTCACTTAATAAAGAAATTTGGATTAAATACTACAGAGATAACGAACAGTATTCAAGCTCAAAAGTCCATTCAAACAATACAAATCAGGAACAGAGCAAAAACAGACCTCTAAAACATCAGAGATGGGATCAGGTGCATTGGAGGAGTACACATCCCCTGCCGACTGGTCACACTTGCCGTGTGCTTCTTGTCATGATCGGGGAAAAAAACGGAAATATCCGTAGACAATTCAGTGTGTAAATTATGGCCTAACAATTAGGATGAAAAACGTCAGCATTTGATTTAATGAAAGATTGTATTTGCCGACAAGGTCATTGTATCGACCGTAGAACTTGTGAAATGATGACTTTAAACGAGACTGTTGATATTCTTGTTTCATCAACTTGTTCGTCAGTAGCTTGCCTAGTTTTAGAAATTGTTCATACGCTGAGCATGCTTTTGCGTATCGAATCAACTGAGAGACATTAACCCCATTTGCAGGTGATAGGGTATATTGCTACACAAGTAAGGAAAGATGACGATTGAAAAGTTGAAGTCATCAATTTATTATAAAGCTTGATTGTTAGATGACCATTAACGTCTTTTTTAAAGTAAAATATCCAAATATGATGAAACACATGTGTCAGACTCTGTGGTATCTTTTATTTCAAGTTCACTGGGATATATCGATTCGACATATGAATGGAAGTAACGATTAACGAAGTGTTTTCTTCTTCTCATGTATAAGATTTTGAAAAAATGTCATTTCCTAAAAACCACTAGACTTTAAAAGACAAAGCTTCCCTTCTTGAGTGTAAAATATTCTTTTCAAAATCACGAGGACTATGAAAGACATTTCTCGTGTTAATATACCAAACATCCACCAGTGAAAATTCAATTTGTTCAAATCATAGCTGCCGAGGCTAAGGTGGGATCACTAAATATCTACGTTAAAATTGAGCAGAAAAAAGTTTAAATTCTTGTTCACAAGGACGAAAAAACTAGAATAAGTCATATTAATTAACAAATATAAATGCCATGTAGTGAAAATTTAGATGAAGTTTTGTTTTTAATCATAGCATTGGGGATATTTTGGGATCATTATAATATGGAATCGAAGTTTGTTTTAATGATTATAAAAGGAAAAGTTCTTTTAAAATTCTTTTAAAGGGCTATAATTAGTCACATTAAATATTCAAACATTTCCATGTAGATTTTGTTCGAATCATGGTCCGTGGGGTTTCGATGAGGCCGCAGCAGGAAGGAGGCAATGTTTGACATTTATATTAAGGAAAAATCTTTCAAAATCTTATCAAGAACAATAGACCTACAGTAAGTCATATTGATTGACAACCATTCTCGTGTAATGTTTTTAAAAAAAATCAAATTTTGTTCAAGTCATCGTCCCCATTAGCTAGATTAGGGCCTTGAAAAGTCGTCAACATTTAAGATTCATCATATAAAATTTATAAAAATTTTGAGATGAAAAGTAGGAATAGGATTTAGTCATATTGATAAACAACCAAGGCATTCAAATGTAGCGCAGATATTGTTTTGGTCAAGCCACTGCCAAGGAAAAAGGTAGGGCCACAATAGGAGGTCAAATTTTAAATATACTAGTAGAAAAAAAAAAAACTCTTTTGTAGCAACGCCTTAAGTCTCAGGTGAGCATTGTTGTCCATGAGCCTTTTGTTTTTATTGTAACAGTTGCAATATCCACAGTGGGGTGGAACACTACTCCTGTACGAGGTATTCTAGTGTGAAATACTCCTACACAGTTCCGTGCGGGTTTTGGCACTAGCAAAGATGTTTCAGAACAAAGTAAAGTGTTTTTGATATTTTTTGCATGACAATTATTATTATGTGTTATATTAAGGAGAGGAACTAGTAAGTTTTTAGAACTTGTTTCTGATCCTTTTGGTTGACAATAAAATATGTTCAAAACAAACAAAGTAAACATGTTTATAAGTTGTGGTACTCGTATTTTTCACACATGATTATTATATTTGCACATAAATAATATAATGATTGCAATTTCATTCAAAATGATTCTGACTTTAACTTGCAAATTTAGAGTGTAACTGAAAAGTAGAAATTAAGATATAAATACTCTGATAATTTGAACACAACTGAGGAATTTTTTTCAACTCTAGATACAGTAGAACAGCGCACCAGAGCTTGTGTTCACGAAAGTGTAAAGGTAACTCAAAAATAGTGTCTTGGTTTACAGGAACTGAGTATGTTGATATATACTGTGGAGTTTCATTGAGCAAATATTTTGATTTGCTACTTTATACTTACATGCATTATCTTTAATGGTTGAAAAATCAATTTCTGTTTACCATTTTGTTAGTAAATGGTGCCTGGAGTCCATGGCAGACTTGGGGAAGCTGGGGGTCATGTGACCAGACATGTGGAAATGCAATAAGAGTCCGGTATAGTGTGCGACACTGTAACAACCCAGACCCCAAAAATGGTGGTACAGGTTGTTCTGGAAAAAATACAAAGAAAGACACGGAACTCTGTAATACAAAGGAGTGTCCAGGTAAGAATGTGTTCTTGGTAAGAAAGTGTACACCATGAAGAATGTGACCATAAAATATTACATACAATCATAGCAACCAGACGGTGATTCAATTATTTACACAGAAATCCTTTAAGGGTTTTTTTTATCCACTATGTACAAGTAATATGTGTTGACTTTCATTCAAACACTAGTGAATGGCAATTGGGGCACGTGGCAGTCTTGGGGCAAATGGGGGGCATGTAGCACGACTTGTGGAGAGGGGATACGTACAAAGATCAGTAAGCGCTTCTGTAACAACCCGGCGCCTCGGTCAGGTGGACAGGAGTGTCAGGGTGACGGTTCTAGACAACGCAATGAGAAATGCACTATAATTGAGTATTGTTCAGGCAGGTGTCATTTTATTATTCTTTATCCCCCCCCCCCCCGCTTTTGCAAAAGCGCGGGGACATTTAATCACATCTAATTTCGTCTGTCGGCCCAAAAGTCTGTCAGTCACAAGAACTTTAATTTTTGAATGAAAGAAGATATGGCTTTTGTATTTCATATGCGCATCACATGTTACAAAATTTTTCCGAGTAAACCATGAATTTTGACCTATTGAACTTGAAGTTCAACCCATTTAAATATCATTAGGATGACTTTTGAATGAGAGATTAGCTTTCATATCTCATATGCGCATAACCCGTGATATGATCATTCCGAATGTACCATGACCTAATGACCTTACCCTTGGAATTTGACTTTCTTTTTTTAAAAAAGTAACATTGGTAGTATCTCTTGATTGAGAGAAGAGAGGTTTTTCATATTTCATTTGTAGTGACCTTCAAAATGTACCAAAATTTTTACCTAATGAACTTGACATTGAAACTTGATTTGACCTACTTTTCAAAAAAAAATTAACGTTGGTGATAATTTTAAAATTTTTGTATGTGCATTGCCTGTGACAAGACATTTCAGAATGTACACTGAATTTTGACTTAATGATCTACTTTGCAAAAAAATTAACCTTTACCATAGCTTTTGCACCTGAAGAGATTGCGCTTTCATACTTTTACATTTGTATTATCTGTGGCAAGACCATCTAAATAACTTATGTGTTTGACCTTGTGATATTGACCTTACAGTTTGATGTAGTTTTCATTAACTTTAATATTGGCCGTATCTTTGCACAAGAACATATTACTTCACAAGCTGAACGCTTTTTTTTGTATGATGGACAGACAAGACAGATACAATATGCCATAAAGCATTGTAGTCCCACCAATAAAACCCCAAAAGCGGAGGACCACTATTTTCTGAATTTGTTTATTTTATTAAACTTCCAAAAATATTATCATAATATATTATATACTGTAGCGATGGTGAAAATTCGCTTGTATCGTATATGTGTAATTGTGATACTAATCTATAAAAATCGTTCATATCAAATTCAGTGGATGAATAGAAAAAAATGACATATCATTAGGAAAGAAATAATGAATTGAAAAAAAATGAAATTAATTATTAATATGAACTGGATTATAGTGAACGGTGGATGGAGTAGCTACGGTCCCTGGAGTAAATTTAAGGAGTGTACAGTGACTTGCGGGGGTGGTGACAAAACAAGGTACAGATACAGAGAATGCAACAACCCCAAACCACAACATGGCGGACGAAGTTGTTCCGGGAATTCTGTGTTGTCGCACACAACGCCGTGCAATACAAGTCCTTGTGCAGGTATTAATTTATTTATACAGAGAAAAGAATACTTAATATATTTATTTTTTTATCAGAGAATTCAAACAGTTTTTATTCAATTTTGAATTGAAGTCAGCTTGAAGACTATAAATAAGCAATAAAGAGAGAACCGATTTAATGCTCTTTATCATTGTAAAAATAAACCATTAAATGCTATCAAGGTAAGAGTACTTCAGGAATATAAATGAGAGCAGATGTAATTTTACAATAGGGTTAAAAAATCAATTGCTGTGTAAAACAAGAGTCCCATAGGTCACAATGCTCACCTGAATCAATTGACCCAATTTTCTCGTTTTTCCCCATCAAAATTTTAACCCCCCCCCCTCCCAATATCGTGGCACTAGTCTAGCCCAAAAGGATAATGACTTAAGTCAACTTGAATTCACACAATATGGGGATGCTTCAGTATAAATATGGCTAACATGGCTTTGCTGTTCTTGAGGAGATTTTTTAAAGATTTTTTTAACCAAACTTCCCATGTAAAACTTTGATCCCTTCTGTGTCCCTACCCTCCCCCCTCTCAGGGCCATGGTTTGAATATAATTGAATCTGGACTATCTGAAGCTACATTTACATTAATTTGGACATGCAATACATGAGGATGCTTCCATGTAAAACTTGGATCCCGTTTAAACAAACTTGAATCTGCACTTGCCGAGGCTTCTTGCTTATTAATGTGAAAAATTATGTGTTTGCTGTTCTTGAAAAGAATAATATTATATATAATTTTATGTGGTCGTAACGACTATTTGAACGGCTGAAAAAAAGTTTATATCGTATAACCTGTGTTGCCTACGTCACTGTCCAACCCACGTTATAAAGTAAAACTTTAAATTCATTCCTTAAATAATATTTAAATGTGTTTTCCTTTATATCCCCATGTAAAAATTGTTCCCTTATACATTGTGGTCTCATTCTACCCCGATGCCACAAAATTTGAATCTGAATTTCCTGTGGATGCTTGCAGATTAATTTGACTAATTATGGCTTTGCTGTTCTTGAGAAGATTTCTCCATAAAAATTGATTCGTTTTTGTGGACTCACTTTATCCCTCAGGCACCATGAGTTGAATAAAATTTAAAGTACACTATCTAAGAATGCTTGTATAAGCATGGCCCCACTGTTCCCGAGAATAAGATTTTTAAAGATTTTTTTCAATATACTCATGAAAACTTTGATCTCCTATTGTGGTTCACCCTACCCTAGAGCCACGATGTGTAAAAAGTATTTATATGTAGCCCACTTATCATTGCGCTTGAGGAGATTTATTCCCATATATTCCCATGTAAAACTTTGATCTGTTACATGACCCAACCCTACCACCCCGCCCCCACTCTCCAACCCCGACCCAATGGGCCAGGATTTTATCAAACTTGAATCTGCTTGAGGATGCTTGCATATCAACACTACTAATCACTGCCCAGGTGTTTTGAGAAGGTTTTCCCCATATACATTGCAATCCTATGCTAAACATCCTTACTGTGGCTTCAATCTACCCTCAAAGGCCATGATTTGTACAAATTTGAATCTGCACTACCTTAGGATGCTTGCATATTAAGGATAAATACCACAAACAAACTTTTTTTCTTCAAAATTCAGCAATATTTCTCATAGATTTATATTTAAATTGGTTACCTGAATAATGTTTACCAGGTATAGTTGGAGAATTTTATAAGATTTTGTATAAGGTTAAAAAAGTGCACAATTTTGTATAGAAATATATAGAAAGCGACATAAAGTCTCATATCTAAGCACCAAAGAAAACTTACGATTTCTTTACATTTTAGGGATTAATTATTTATGTCATTTCAAATCAAAATCAGTCAAAAAATATTTAGCAATCCATGCATCAAATTTTTATTTGTGTTAAGTACCCTTAAGCTGAATAATCATGTTCCTGTCGTTCTTAAGATTTATTCGCATATATTCCCGTGTAGAAGTTTAATTCCTTACTGTGGCTTCACCCTACCCCGGAGGTTCATGATTTGAACAAACTTGAATCTACACTATTTCAGTAAGCTTTCATATATTAAGTTTCATATTTTCTAGCCCAGTGGTTCTTGGGAAGATTTTAAAATGACCCAAACCTAATTTTGCCTTTTCTTAAATATCGCCCCTTGGAAAGGGACATGACTTTTCAATTTAATACGAGTATTGTAAAATCACTTATTTTCGAGGAGTCAAATTTTCGTGGTTTGAGGAAACAGTATTCATTCGTGGGGGTTGATTTCGTGGATGAAGAATTGTTGAGTAGTTACGTAACTATATAACATTTTACATTTCGTGGTGGACATGAATTCGTGGGTCTCTTCATCCCTCTAGAGCAACGAAATTTAAACACCCACGAAAATTAGTGATTTCACAGTATTTGAACTCCTCTCACCCAAGAATACCTTGTACCAATTTTGGTCGAAATTAACGCAGTGATTCTGGAGAAGATGGATATTTGAAAAGTTTACAACAACGACAACAACAGACAACGGTCAAATTTCGATCAGGAAAATACTCACTTGAGCCTTTTGCTCAGGTGAGCTCATAAAAATTCGTTCTATCAGAAGTTTTTTAGGTCACCTGATTCACTCAGGTGACCTATTGCTATCCGTTTTTGTCCGTCGGCGTTCGTCGTTCGTTAACATTTGAACATTTTCAGCTTCTTCTCTTTAACCGCATAACCAATTTCAACCAATTTTGGCATATAGCATCTATGGGTGAAGGGAAACAAAAATTGTGAATTTCAGGGTCCCTGTCCCCCTGGGGCCTGAGGGTGGGGCTAAAAGCACCAAAATTAATGCAATCTTTAAAAATCTTCTTCTTTACTCCTGGACATCAAGCAGTCAAACTGTTGGCATGATTGTAATAAACAATGAGCCTTCTACCAAAATTGTGAAATTCATGACCCCAGCTCTATTAATTATGTAGTGAAATGCATTTATTCTGTTAAATAATCCTGTCTAATCCTTAGTGTTGAGCAGGTAAACAAAATGCATAGATATGATGAATAAGGGTGCTTCTCAAAAAATTTTAAAAACTTTGTGGTCCCCTTTGTGTTTCTCATGGGGGGGGGGGGGTACCTCTTCCAAATTTGTGATGAGGATACCTCTTCCAAATTTGTGAAATTCATGACCCTGGGTCATGGGTTTTGGTGTTAGGGTAGGGCTGTGTTGATTCTGTAGTAATGATACATGTAGTGAAAATGCATTATTTCTTTGAAAATGTTCTCTGTTCCTTGGCATATCAAAGGCAAACAAAGTAAAAGTTTTAATAAGCAAGAATATTTATACCAGATTTTTAAACATCTGGACCATTTGGTCAAGTGTTCTGGTACTGGCCAGGGCACAGGCACTTGGGGTGTGGACCCCCCCCCCCCCCATTTTCCATTTTTTTTTCTTTTGAAATATGGGATCGAGTCACCTTTTTCCTATTTTTGTATTCTAATATGCACTATATGTTATCAATAATGTAACTCTTTTGTCTCTATATGCTGTTTTTAAATATACCGTTTTCGACTGATACATAAAAAGAGAGAAGGCTTGCAACTCTTTTCTCATCGTCTGCCTCACCTCGCTTAAACTTCGCCTGATTATTTATCGAAAGAATAAGAAAACATGGAATATGCATGCATCAATAAATTCGTTATACATTCTTCTTCCTTTTCCTATTTTCATTTAATTTTTATGTGCCCCCGATTTGTAAATATTTCGATTAAATCAACCGCATCTAGGGTAAATTTTGTTGATGTGCACCAGCTGGGACGGAAGTGCAAGAACGGTAACTCTAACTTTACAAATGTTCTGTATTAAATAAAATTCCAAGCTTTGTAATAAAAATATTGAGAAATTTGGTTGTCTAAGTCGTATGTTAAATGTTAATCTTCATCCATTAGAATCTGCTAGTTGGAGTTATCTTGTTATTCACAGAACTTACCGTTACATATATTATGAAGAGAAAATTCGGGAATTTTTCCCTCTTTCATTTAATGTTCCGAATAACATTACACTTAATGATGACGCCCGAAAATACCGGACACTTCCGTCCCAGCTATTGCACATCAACAAAATTTACCCTAGATGCGGTTGATTTAATCGAAATATTTACAGATCGGGGGCACATAAAAATTAAATGAAAATAGGAAAAGGAAGAAGAATGTATAACGAATTTATTGATGTATGCATATTCCATGTTTTCTTATTCTTTCGATAAATAATCAGGCGAAGTTTAAGCGAGGTGAGGCAGACGATGAGAAAAGAGTTGCAAGCCTTCTCTCTTTTTATTTATCAGTCGAAAACGGTATATTTAAAAACAGCATATAGAGACAAAAGAGTTACATTATTGATAACATATAGTGCATATTAGAATACAAAAATAGGAAAAAGGTGACTCGACCCCATATTTCAAAAGAAAAAAAAATGGAAGGGGGGGGGGGGTCCAGACCCCAAGTGCCTGTGGGCCATGGCTCTATTAATTTGTATTCTACTGAGAGAAGTTATTCCCCTTTGCAATTCACTTTTGATAATTAATCATTGTAAATAATGTATTTAAAAAGTTAATAGAATAAGAGAATTATGCAAAATATTTTATTGTATAATACAAAAAGTACTTTCATAGTTTTAATGATCAGATAAACTTATAAATAATGGAATAATAAAAAAATGAGACAAAAATTTTTTTTTTTAAATGTTCTTAAAAAACCAAAAGAGGCCAATGTGAGAAATTACAATTTGGGGTTAAAAGTGATACAGAAGCATTAATAGTTTGTTAATAGTCTGCAAGGTGATATTGATAAATTGGGGACAGATTAGAACTTAATTTATGAGTTGTTACTAGATATTAGACTAATTATTTCATTGATCCTGATCATCCTATTTCTCTTGCTTTTGGGCAACAAAGCCTCATCTGTCAGTTTATTTTATGTTCTATGGATCCTCTAAGTTGTTGTATTATACTCAGGTGACCGTTAAGGCCCTTGGGCCTCTTGTTTGTTTTGTCAAGACGGCCATGTATCAATTTTTTTATCAATAGTTTCATCCGTTGGAAATGAAACTGTCCATCCCACAAACGAGACGGAAAATGATAGTTTTGCATCACAAGAAAATGAGTTTGACAGTTCTGGTTCTGGGAATGAAACTGTCATCAGCAATACAAATCAAACATCTGGTGATTCCCAACCCAATCAAGTCACCATTGGTAGTACGATCACGGAAACGCCTGATGATAGGGAATCAACCACACCAATGGCGGAATGGAGCACCAAAAACGAGAATCAATCAGAGGAATAGATCTTGTACATGAAAATATCTCCAGAATTGATCAGATTAAAATTTATCCTGTTTATTTAAAAATTGTTTGTCATTATGTTCAATCACAAATACATGTAGTCAGACGTAAGATCAATCTGTATTTTATTGTTCATCTAAAATAGCCATTTTCCTACTTAGAAATGATTCAACAGAAACATCATTTGTTGAAGGGATATCAATATATTAAAGTAGTCACTTGATTCGTCGTGTGTAGGGGTTTTAAGAAGGGTTAATGGGTTCTTTAACGGATTTAAAGCTAAATGTATCTACATTCTTTTTCGTTGGCACGAAAAACGATCCCTCTGTAACGTATTCAAATACACCAATTATTTAAATTTAAACATGTATATGAAACATGCTAATGGGTAGGTTACAGGTGCCTAATATATGGATTTCGAACCTGTAATATTTCTAGTATATGAAAGTGTCAAGCGTTAGTGAGCATTGAGTACTAGTATTTAAAATAATCTGATAACATTTCTCAAGGCATCCTACGAACACAATTTGTTGAGCTATAGTAAAAAAAAAAGTTTAACCATCCATATCAGTTTTTCCAAATAAATAATATTACTTCCGTGTATATTGTATGACTTGGTGCTGCATACTGTTTTTAATGATTGCCTAGGTAGGTAAGTATCGAAGCTTTGGGGGTTTGTTTAATATTTAGTATATTTACATTTTAGAAATTATGGACAGAAGAATTTTGCCTCATTTTGTAATGATCCCTTATTAACATAATCTAAAACAAGATGTGTTTGTGAAACACTGATGCCCCCCATATGGCAGCTTATGACGAAGGTTAAATTTTCTCAAATGCAAGTCAAACGCCAAGGTCAAGAGTTCAAACTTGATGTTACATGTACCCAAAGTATAAAGGACTTGTGTCAAGGAGATACCTGGTAAATATGAAAGCCCAAGCACCAACCATTCAACATTATGGTCAAGGTTAATGTTTTCTAAAAGTGGGTCAAACTGTAAGGTCAAGATAAAAGGGTAAAAGTTAATGGTATGCAGTGGAAGACCTCGTCATAAGCAATACTATGGAAAGCCACAGGGGACCCCCAAGTCATGTTCTATATATTCATAGTAATTCAATCTTGGGCGGTCATGTTTACAATCCCGGCCAAGTCATGATCGGCCACACGGGACTCCCAAGTCATGTTCTATATATTCATAGTAATTCAATCTTGGGCGGTCATGTTCTATATATTCATAGTAATTCAATCTTGGGCGGTCATGTTCTATACATTCATAGTAATTCAATCTTGGGCAGTCATGTTCTATATATTCATAGTAATTCAATCTTGGGCGGTCATGTTCTATATATTCATAGTAATTCAATCGGTCATGTTATGATTGCAACTCTGACCAAGTCAGGTTTGGTTTGATAGCATAACATGGCCTTCTTATCTTTGCCGGTCATGATTTGACAACCCTGGCTTAGTCAAGATATATCCCATGTTTTACATCTTGACTAGGCCATGATTTTCTATCCCAAGATTGCATTGGCCAAGATACATTACTTCCAAACGCAGTCAAGATTTACTTCCCAAGATTTTATAGGACCGAGATTCGGCCTAGGGGTGAAACGATACACCTCCTTCACGGTTCGATACGTATTGTATAATTTTGTCTCGGTTCGGTTATTTTCGATACGATACATTTTGATAGAAGGAAACAAATTCTACGTTGTTTTATGCTTTCTTTTTCTAAATCTAGTCACATATTTTACGAATTTTATTTGCAAATTGACTAGAAGAAATTGATTAAAATTATTTGACTGTCAAAAATTATTTTACAAGCTATCAGTCATCAAAAATTTACGTTTTCTATACTTATTTATACTGAGTAACGTGTTATACCTTATGCCAAACCCGACTGAATAACGATCCCGACCGAAAAATGAACCGAACCGAAAATTTGAGATTTTGCACCGTGTATCAAACCGAGAAAAAATACCGCGGTGCATCGATACCGCGGTGAACCGTTTCACTCCTAATTCGGCCAAGATAGCATTGCGCCAAGATACATTACTTCCAAACGCAGTCAAGATTCACTTCCCAAGATTTCAAAAGACAAAGACTAATTTCCCAAGATTTCAAAAGATCAAGAATCGGCCAAGAATTTTTAGGATGCAGAAGCGCGGCAATAATCATATGCTTGCTTGGCCACGGGTCGAGACCCACATACAGGTAGGGATTTATTTTTTTTTTGTTGTATGTCACGAATATATAGCTATTATTTGAAAAATATGGATAAAAATATATCTGTTTAATCAAAGAAAGACCGTATGCATTTCATGTTTTACTCTTTTTGCCGCTTTCTTTGACATTAGAAACAGAAAAAAATTAATTCTCACAAGATTAATATTTACAGTTTAGATAATGCAGAAACATGCATTTATTATACATTTCACTTCATATTTTATGAAATATTAGTATTGTGTGTTTAAGTTTAGTATTTAACATGAAAGTATAATAATGATTATTTGTGTAATTCTTCGATATAGAGTTACTCATTTGAAACATGCACAGTTAGATCCACCCATCTATTTCTTTGGTTTGTTAAAAGTGGCATACTTAATAAACCTGGTGACATTTAAATAGTTGTCAAAATAGGGAGAATTTCTCCATCATGGACCATTTGGTAAGGACTTTGCCCTCTACCTGTAATAAATTCATTGCTAGTCCTGACTTTAACCCCATTTCGTTTTTAACCATTAACTAACAAGACTGTTTTCTGATAAATAAGATAACATGAAGTAAGACTAAATTTTTGTTTTATTTGGCCCAACATTACTTAATGGCTTTATTTAATCATGTTACAAAACTTAAATCTATACAACTCATTTTCATGTTGACAATAATACTAGTAACAGAGATGACAAACAAGTGTTAGATCAGTAATATTGTTTTATTTAGTTACCATGGCTATAGCTTTATGTTACAGCTTTATTTATTTCTTGTGACAAAATGTAGCATTGGGTTCACAGGTACTTGGGTCGTGGTTTATAAAATAAATATGTATGAACCCTCATACATATTTATATTATAAACCACGACCCAAGTACCTGTGATTGGGTTAGTTGTATCTGATTTAATGGCGACACATATAGTATATTTTCTATTATAACTATTTTGTAATATACATAATGGATGTAATTTAACTGATTTGCAGAGTGTCATTCGGTTACATTGGTTACAATCCTTACCCTAGCCCCAATGAACCAATTAATCTTAATTAACCATATTCCCAACCTAACCCCTTTCCCTAATCTAAAACACTAACTAACCCACATCCTAACTAACAGTAATCCCTAACGTTTATTTCCACCCTAACTAACCTTTATCCCAATACAAACTTAACCTTTATCCCAAAATCAACTAACCTTTATCCCAATCCCAACTAACCTTAATCTAAATCCCAACCCTTACCCTGACCCCAAATCCTAACTAATTATAAACCCAACCTAACCCTTCTCCCAAATCCCAAACACTAAGCAAAACCATAACTAACCTTAAACTCTAATTAATCCAAACCCAATTTACTCAATTCCCAGCACTGACCTAATTTTAACCCTTAGTACCTATATTTACATGTATTTCTTAACCTAAGTTTCCAGCAACCACTGTAACCTGACTTAAATACATAAGAGTTGATTAACCAATGTAACCAATGTGGTTGCAGTTGGAAAGGGGTAAAAGTCGGAACTAAATGATATGTTAACTTGACTAATTTTATCAGAATGGCAAAACTTGGGCAGAAAATTGTGAGGGCGTTTGAAAATGAAGAACATTGTGACGTACGTATCACACTAGCTGATGGAACTTTCATGTGTGCACATTCATTAGTGTTGGTCATTGGTTGTCAATACTTTCATACTCGATTAAATGGAAATTGGAACAGTGGAAAAGGGAACCATGAAGTAAATTGCAGTGATTTTTCTGCAGGCCTTACACGGTCGATGATTAAGTTTCTTTACCAAACAGATATTGATCTGTCAATGGAAAATGTACAGGACATTCTACAAATTGCAGATTTCTACATCGTTTCTGATTTAAGAAAGAAGTGTGAAGAGTTTTTGCTCTGTTCAATATCATCTGAAAATGTTTTTTCCATCCTGAATATGGCTTTTACATTTAGCATAGAAAATGTTTTGTCATCTGCATTGTCATTTATTGACAATTATTTAGAAAACATTATGTCTATCAGAGAAAATGCAGACTTGTTTTGTACATTTCATAAAGATCTGTTAATTCTTTTAATCAAAAGAGACTCAATGTGCATTCATGAAGAAAAACTCTTCAAATTTGTTGCTATGTGGATGAAATCTGAAAATAGAGCTGAACCTGTTTGTTGGAATACACTTGTTCCTCACATTAGATTTGGAAGAATGTCTATTGATTTTTTCATAGAAAATATTGTTTACAAAAATGTTATAGAAAGTGATTATGCTTTGAAAATCATGTTATATATGACCTCTTTATCTACACAGAAAGATGAGATTGATCACAATACATATCGTCCAAGAAAGTGTATTTCTTTAAATGACCGTGTAGTGAATAGGTTTTTTTTCCATAGTCCGGATAGTACATGGGAATATGATGCCATTTATGGTGACCGACTAGCTTTTTCTGTAAACTCAGATGTTAGATTATCAGGAGTTATTCTCTTTGGTGCCAAAAACTGTTCATTGTGTGTTGAAATTACCCTTTTTTCAGAAGACTGTATTGTTAAATTAAAAATACGAGAGGAACTTGGAGATGTTTTTGATTTTCCTGTAATTTTTCCAAATGTTGTAGAGATAAAAAAAGAAAAAATTTATACCATTGTTGCAAATGTTAGTGGAAGTAATGTCTTTTTTGGGGTGGATGGTGTAGAGTGTGTAAAAACAATGATTGACAGGAATACAAAGGCTGAAGTTAAGTTTTTTGACAGTGTAGGTAGCAAAACAAATACAAGAAGAGGTCAAATTAAAGGTTTAATTTTGTGCTAAATTTAAATTTTTGCTGACAGACATTTTACACGTTTAAAGTTATTAAACTTTATAAATTGTTTGGAAAATAGCTTTCAATTTGAATTCCTTGGATTATCTTAAATCTTCTATTAATAACAAAGTTAATTTGTTAAACTTCATTTATGCATATATTTTCAAATTGACTATGGTAATTTTTTATTTGCTGAACCAATTGCAATGCATTTATTAATTTAAATGCATCAAATATATCATTTGTCATTGCTATGGTTACATTGTATTAATATATTGGTCTAATGGACAAGCATTTTACTGCATATGTGATTAGATTTATAGTGATAACAGAATACAGATATTGTGTGTGACTCATAAAAAACAAATATATCATGTATATGAAATACTATTAGAGCTTGAAATGTATTCAGTTTGTCAGACGTTATGTACTTGTACTGCATAAAAGATAATAAATGTAAAACTCTTATTTTATTTCATAAGTCCCTTTTTTGGTGAAACTGGACGGGATTTTTTTTTATATACAAATCGGGTTTGTTCTTTCGCAGAATTTTCTCAAAATCTATTCATAGCTCATTGTTAATGGTAAAAGTTATTTGAATATGGAACTGAGCCAAATTAAATGTAAGCAAAAAAGAATGATACTATGAAACGATGATGTGTTTAAAAAGTGTATGAATTACATTATTATGACAAACGTTGATTAAGAAAATAGATTAGATTTAACTATAAGAGTTTTTTTAGAAAGCTGCTTAGGTATTGAGAGGTAATATTCACAATTGGCACACAGTATTGTAACATTGAATTGGGCTAATATCCAAGCAATGTTTTACAAAAGAACTAACAACTTCTGATCAAATTTATAATGATTATTATATTTGAGGTATGTCATCAAACGCACCCTTGGTGTTCTGCCATTTTGCCTTATTTGATGTATGTAGTATTACATGAGTTTTAAGAATTCTTTGATCAATAAAGTTTTGATTGAATAGCATGTGTAAAACTACTCCTCACAAAAAGTCAAGCAACTATCTCATAGGTATGTTTTTAAGGGAGAAATAACTTGTAATAGATGGTTTTGTTGCTATACCTTCAATTACAAGTAATTTTTCCTTTAAAAAGAATAAAAATGAGTTTGTTGCTTGACTTTTTGTGAGAGGTATAGGTTATATTTTCAGGGTTTAATTTGGTATGTGCACCATAAATGAGGACACAGATTGAGAAATATGGATGAAAGTAAGTAATATTCATTTTGTAACTTGGGCACTGCAAGTATTTGCTGATGCCAATTAAGCAATCACCTTATTAGTACCCTACCGGTTTCACTGGTATAAAAATATTGTATTTTTATGATCATTATCATTATGACAGACTAGTAAATAAATGCTTGTTGTATATTTTTGTAGATTTAAAAGACATCATTAGAAGTTACCACAGAAGAGGTTTATCTCACAAGGAAATTCACTTTTTACTGAAAATAAGACATGGTCAAAACTATAGGTATGTGTGTGTACATGTATATATAGCTACATGTAATTTGATTAAAAAGAAGGAAAAATAACAATTTCTTAAATAACTACAAAAACAACATCAACCCCACCCATTCTTCAAGCATACATATAAAAAGAACAGAGTTATCAACCAACCTTTTCTTAAAATTTATTCAATAGAAATTAGATTTTATAGCTAGAAGCTACCCACCCCCTCCTTCCTCCAACATTGTTTGAACAGCTTAAAAGAAAGTGAAGGAATTGTATATTGAAATCAAATTCAAAATATAAGGAGACTACCGCCATCCCCTTTTTTCTTCTCCACTTCGAAAAATGATGCTGCATGTTTGAATATTAAATACCAGAGTAGTTGCATCTCTTTCCTCGTGCTTTTGTATTGAATATGCACTGTGCAATGCTGCTGCTACCACTAACCTTCTAAAATAAAGGTGTGTTGGTATGTCAATGACATGCTAATTAAGGCTAAGTAATTTTAATAAAAATACATTTTTTATTCACTGAAAGGAATAAAATACTTTAAAATTCTATTTTCTTCCAGTTTCCAATATCTGAAGAGAAAAGTAATGCCAAGATTAAATTTAAATTACAGAAGAGGAAATAGAAACCTGACAGATTTTGCTGAAGTATTGGATCTTATAAAGGTAAATTCAATGTACACACACATACGTGCCTGTGTGTGGAGGGAGAGAGAATATATAAATAAAAATGCATGCATAATGTGTTTGTGTGTTATTTTTACTTTCAGAATGAAGTGAAAATAAAACCAGATCGAAGTATATCTGACATGTTTTTCAGATTGAAAACAATCCATGGGTGCAATGTTCGAAGGTAAAGTAGACTTTTTTAACTATCATTATATAGTTAACACTAAGAATATTTCTCCTTGGTTACACACAGTTGCAGGTACACAGAGAATGTGGAAAAAATGTATTAATTTTTACTTTTTTGATAGAGAATTGGTGAGGCAAATCATGAGAACACTAGACCCTGTCGGCGTGTCCCTCAGAAAGGGAAACAAACTGAAACGAAGACAGTACCTTAGTAAAGGTTTTTCATAATTATTTACCTTGAATGTAGAGTTACATGTGCAAAAAGTTATGGTTTATAATTTTTGTTCAATACATGTACTACATTTGGATTAATAAGATAATATTTTGTTGAATCCTTGTCATTGCAATTTAACAGGTCCCAATTGGCTTTGGCATATAGGTAAGTTAGCATTTTTATGACAAATTGCAAATGGATTTTTTTTAAAACTTTTTAGCCAGTGATTCATTTTGACGTGGTGCGTCCTGCATAAAATATACACAAAATTTGCTCATTACACATAATTTCACTGTTTGTGCATCCCATTTTAAAAATACACATGCCCATTTTTTCGCTAAGAAGTTCCTTTCTTAACCTACAAACTAGATGCCCGAAATATTCCGAATTAAAACACACTACAAAAGCAGAAATCTCATAGGTCAACACTTAGTAATTAACCAATGAGATCCAATGATACATGACATTACCGTGTTGATGTTGATCATGATGCTACCGAATAAAACGGATAAAATTACTCTGGATCCAGGATATATTAACCAGGGTTTATGAAAAAGTAGACAAGTGGCAGTTAATAACAACAAAGAGGTTCATGCTAAAAGGAACGCTGATCCAGAACGTGCAATAAATGGCTATTGATACAGGCGATAAAGAAACAGGCGAAACTCTGAAGGGTCCCAGTGACAGCACTTTGCCTGTCTCTTAGTATGGTCATTTAAAATTTTAGTTTAGATAAGCATAGCTTGTTTGATATTCATGTTCTATGTAAAATAAATATGGACTTGTTGTTTTCGGCTTGGGACTCATAATTATGGTTAAAAAGGGGGCCTTTGGACTCGTGAAGACAATTTTCAAAATGAATCACTGTTATTAAAGTTGTTAAATCAAATTTAATTCATTTTAGTATTTTATTTTCATGCATTATGATACATGTATAGTACTGTGGCACATGAGCAACATATACACGTGTAATGTAAATATATAAATATATTTAGTTTCTATGCTTTGAAACCAGTCATTGCAATGTACGTATATTTCAAATACATTGGTGAAGTCTGCTGATCAATGAATGCCAGTAAACAGCAGAATGAATCATTTATGGTGTATATAGATTTTTAAATTAAAAACTGTATGATATTTAGTATCTTTTTTAATAATTGTAGATCAGTATGATAAATTGAGCCCTTTTGGGATATATATCAGTGGATGCATTGATGGGTAGGTAAACATAAAATGTTGGGAATTTATTAATTATACTTTTTACTATGTCCCTAGAGATGTAGGCGCATTTGATAGCGTTGACAGATTTAGCCCCGGGTTCGAGTCTAATCTGTCACTATTGCGGTTACGTTGGGCAAGTTACTTTACTAGTGCACTCTCTCCACCCAGAGGTGAATATGGTAATGCAAAAGCTTACAAATCTTACATGTTCCATTGTAATTTTAGGTTTTCCCGCTATGTGCTTTGGGTGGAAGCTGGTGTCAGCAATAAAAACCCCAAAAAGATTGCAGGGTACTTTTTGAAGACTTTGGAGAATGTTAAAGGTACATGTAATTCAGTGCAAAGATTTGGAAGAGTTGGTTTGTTAAATGAATATATTGAAGACAATATCTCATTTGATTTCTGGAGTTAAAGCAAGATGGCTTGTTTTTTGTAATATTTTTTTACCTTTTGCATCTATTAATGTTGATGTTTATACATATTGAATACTGATTTGTAGGATTTCCACATATTATTCGAGGAGATGCAGGTCAGTTTTTTTTAAAACCATACAGTGTGATTTTTAAAAAAAAAAAAAGAGAGAGAGAGGAATAAATCATGTTATTGATTTGTCAGGCTAGTAATAACATAGATACCCCTGCAAATAAATCTAAAGGAGGTATGCTGGAATCATCCAGTCCGTCTCTAAGGACAAATTTGTCCCCCACCCTATAGATTTTTTTCCTACTGCATAGAATAGTATGACAATTTGTGCATTTTTTGAAAACCATTTGAATATGTGAACCTGCAATTTTTAAATGAGTTTTCCAAAAGAAAAGTCCTGTTATTAAAATGGTGAAAATTATGGGTGGGCTGCTGTCAAACAGGTACAATCCTCCACTCCCACCCCATCAACATTTTCATTAAAAAAAAAGTGTTTTTTAAACAACGAATAATAAAAGTGGGGTAACATGAGAGTCTCAGATTAGAATTTAGACTTCAACATGAAGCTTTAAATGAAAACACAAGACTGACATATCAATCTAAGAGCTGTGGTACTTGGGTGACCATCAAGACCTGTGGGCATCTTGTTAAGTTAAAGGGTGTGCATTAACCTTGAACCTTTCAAGGTCAGATGTGAATATCCTATTAGAATTACTGTAAACCAACTTTTATTCGCGACGACTTTATTTCGTGATTTACCAGGGGTTAACTAGTTCGCGACGATTAATTTTCGCGATCACGCCTATTTAGGTTCTCTTGTTAATAAACACATAGACCATAATGACCGGTTCGCGGCGGGAAATATTCGCGATGACGAGGGTCTCGCAAACTTTGCGAAAATTTCTTGCACGCGAATAAAAGTTGGTTTACAGTATGTCAAAAAAACAAAAAAAAACTCTGGTCAGGAGCATACCTTCTTAAATCTTAATCTAAGTTATACTGCAACCACTGGTTGCCTGTGGTCAAGGTTGTGTGATTAATGAGATTGAATTAAAAGTTCTATGCCAACTGAAAATATTTCTAAGGTGAAAGCAAATTCTCTGAAAAACTTTTCATCCTTATGTCCATTTTTTTATCCAGTCCTTTTGAGACGACTATCTCAATTATGTCTAGTTTATAAACTAATGATTTGTTATTCTCTGGTCTTGATACTTCAACTTTAAAAAAATTAAATAATAGTTGAGCTTGGGTGAAATTGATTACCCATTATAGAAGATAACATGCTTTTGAAACTAATTTTATTGTGAGATTTCTGCCTTCATCTTTTGAGGGTAATTTTTTTGTACCCTAGAATTCTTTTTATTGATTTTATGTGTAAACTACCTTTTTGTTTCTTTATATCCCTGTTTGAAATACCCACATATTTTTTAAGGAACAGAGAATGGGACAGTAGCTGCCATTCAAAACTTCTTGAGAGAAGATGATGATGACTGCTTCAGCAAGAAATCCTTCCTCTATGGAAAATCCACTCATAATCAAGTAATGTTTATTATTAACTATTAGCTAATTTACCACAGGTCGTGTCATTGTGTCATATGTGAAGTTGTTCAAACCCATCCCAATATTAGTGGTTATTGACTGATTTAAAAGCACTGCCCTTTCACTTTGAATTTTGACTGAATGACTGTATATTAAATCTGCAACATAGCTTCTAAATTTTAATGTTTTTTATTGAAGAGGATAGAGAGATGGTGGGGAATTTTGAGAAGAAAATGCACAGATCAATGGATTCATCATTTTAAGGTTAGAAAAATACAAGTATTTTTTCCATCCTTTAAGTAAAGTACATAAGCCGAACACTGTTCATTCTGTGAGAGAAAACTGATCAAGGCCTGTAGGGCCGAGATTACTTCTTTCTCTCACAGAATGGACAGCTTGAGGCTAATATCCAACTTAAAACATTACCTTCATTGTTTTAAGAATGGACACAATCAAGTTAACCTGTTGACAATGCTGATAAATATATTTCTTAACTTTGAACAATAAAACCAGTGTTGCATAGAACTTTCTGTTGTTCACTTAATGGATATGCAGGAGGTTTATATAGCTGTGCTGTAAAAATTTCATATTCATTCACTCTTCTACTAAGCAACACCATCTCATTCTTTATTGGGGAGAGCATTTCTTATTTAACAATATTTAAGGATGTAAAAGATGGACTGCATATATTAACACTGTGATAATCTGGATATGGAGGGTGGGAATGTTGTGCCAACTTTTGATATGACTTAAATTACAATATCATTTGATGAAATGATTAAGCCAACAAAAACAAAGAATGCATTGACCGACTTAGATGCAGAAATTTTTCCAGGGGTGTGGAGGAGGTTGACGGTCAAGGTTTAGTTTTATGAACCTTTTTCCTATGTAGTTCGGATGATCAAGAATTAACTTTTAGATTGTGAAGAATATGATTTTTAATGTAGTGCAGTGAAATTTGTTATAGTGTATGTTCTGATCATATCTGATGTGATTTGTGGTTACCAGTTATTAATATGATAAAATGCATTAATTATGCCCCCGCTCTGAAGGAGAAGGGGGTATACTGTTTTACCCTTGTGTGTCTGTCTGTCTGTCTGTCTGTCCGTAACAAAAATTTTTGTCGTATTTTCTCAGCAACTATTCATTGCAGGTGCTTAAAATTTTAACACACTATTTGTTTAGGAATTCTACACACTTGGATATATTTTTGTACACATTTTTTGGAGGTCAACTTCCTGTTTAAGTCCACTTTGCTTATTTTGTATATTCACATTAGAGCGGTGGTATTACTAGTGAGCATTGGCTCACAGATATCTTGTTTTGATTCCTGATTCTGAAAAATGGAGTAGATGTATATCATACTGGATAATATATACTAAATATAAAAGCTAAAAATAAACAAAGGATTGGGTAAAAAAAATGGTTTAAGATGGGTATTCAAGTTTAGGCAATATTGTTCTGCTTTTCTATTTATTTTTCTTATGGTTTTCAGGAATTAGAAAAAGATGGTCATTTTACAATTGGTGATGATCTTCATATGTAAGTTTGCTTTTTACTTAGAAATAACCAACAGATTAAATAGGCTAACTATTCAATCATTAATAGAATAAAAAAAAAAAATTGGCCTCTGTAGCTATAAAGGTATAGACAATTCAAAATTCCTCGGACTCTTGAACTACTCCCCCATGTGAATGAATCTAAAATAATAAAGGCAAGGTAACAGTCATAGGACTCTAAGATAAGGGTTTAGAACTCAAAATGAAGCTGAAAATGCAAACATGAGACTCGGACATGTCAATCTAAGGGTTATGGGACTCAAGTGACTGTCAAGGCCTCTTGTTGTTTATATTTTCTGTTGTCTTTGCTTTGTCAGTTGCTACCGGTTTGTCAGTATATCACACAAATATGTGTGGTTTAAATTCAATATCAAAAGTATCAAAAGCTAATGAACCAATCAGATCCATGTTTGAAGCCAAGAAACTAATATCAAGTTTCATTTCAGAACTTTAGTTCAGTACTGCTACATGCAGATTATCAGAGAAGAATTGGAAGAAGTGAAATTTGCCTGGAATAACCACAGAATCAGGAAACAAAAATCAGGTGATATTGTTCCTGGGATACCTGAGCTCCTTTATCATGTTCCTGAAATGTTAGGTCAGTTTACTTGTTTTGATTCTGGAATCATTTACAAAGTGATCAAATTTCGGTTCACATATTTTTTTTTTGCTGAAAGTAAAAATAGGTTTGTATTTGAAAGTTCTTTAGATTCATTTTTTTATATGTAACTCTTGTGGACACTGTTAAAGACTACAATGCTGGGTCAACAGACTTTTGTCCATTTGTTAACTGATATTTTTTCTCATAGAAAATTGGGTATAAATGAACTTAAAATCAAGAAATTTCATCATAAGTTGCTTACAAGGAACTGTGTTACAAAAAAAGCTTTATACCAGACATTTCCCCATTCCTCTTGTGTTAAAGTAGCATGTACATGTATATATCTATAGTAACAATTAAATAAACTTAAAATTTTGGCCTCTGTCAGAGTATCTTTTAGTTAAAAATTTGTTGGAATTAAAAATGCATGAAATTTAAAGTCTCTTTTTAAAAGATCATTTAATATGTTGACATACATGTATATACATGTATAACCTCTTAACCCCATCTTTCCAAGTCAAGAGTTTCTGGCTTCGGGGCCACCAACATATAAAAATCTCAGCTCAAATCTCAACCTCAAATCTTAGATTTCTGCCTCAGCTGAGATTATCTTAAAACACCGTGCCACCAACATTTCTGAGATTCGTCTCAGGTAAGCTGAGATTTGAGAAAAATCTTAGACTTATTCTCGTTGTTATATGCGACCTTTTTTCTATTAATGCACGAATTTGTTGAATGAATGATTTAATTTACCTTTCAGTTAGTTGTTGCAATATTTTGGCGTATGTAATCACGAAAAAACACATTCTCTACCTTCTTTGTCTTTTATTTGCTGTTTCGAGCCATTCACGCAAATGATTCCATTACGATCTTTGCGACAATGAATATTCACCGAGTCCCCGTAAAAATATCCCTACAGAAGCATAACACAAAAATATCCGAACTTTATAGTCTTGGTTCGTCTGTCGACATTTAAACACACAAAAATATACACCGAGGCGTCACTTCCGCCATTGTGACGTTACTTGTCTAAAGATTACAGAAAGTAGATAGGCGGATCACACATTTTTCTTTCTTCAATTTTATTTTGTAAAATGTCAGATACGTATCTTTTAAATTTTATTCTCCATAGCAAAAATATTTTAGGTAAAGGGACTTTTTGTCCCTATTTAGAATTTTTTTTTAAATCATTTTTTTTCATCAAAGGAAATAAATTTTACAGCCGAAATAATAATTTCAATACTGCCAATTCGGCGTTAAGAAATATGCCTAAACACTGATTTTTTTCTAGCCGATCAAATGCTCGATATATAGCTAATTTTCTTGCATCATAATTTTTGGGAGTTTCGTAAAATTTGTGCATGAGTTGCGACAGAAAACATGTCGTGAGGCGGGTAGCATACAAGTATGCTTGGTTTTACATGATCCCAATTTATCAAGAAAATTTCGATACGAGTGTTTAATTATCAGATAATTTCAGTTCCATCCCCTTCCCCCGAAGAAAGAAAACCTTAACTATACGGACATGTTTATGGACGAGGTTAAATAAAATATCGCATGCATTTTCCACGATCCCTGTAAGAAAATGTCAGAAAAAAATATTCTTCTTTTTAGATATATTACACTGGAAGACAAAATCAATCTCACATACGCTTATCAAGTGACGATTAACTGATTAATTCCTATTGTCATATTGTAAATAAAAGTTTCATGGCATGTTCATGTAATATTTGAAACAAAGGACCATGCTTTTTTTTTTAAATTTCAAAATGTAAATGGTCGGGGTTTTTTTTTTTTTGTTTTTTGATTTTTTTTTTTCAAAAGAAAAAAAAAAGATTATACTTGTAGTGATTAATACATGTACTTTCGAATGGTCATAAGTCAGGCTTATTCTTATAAATAATATGAACGATCAAGGATTTTTGTGTGCGATGTATTGTGAGTATTATTAAGTAGATCATAATTAATTCTCAATAAAGAATTTTATAGATTTAAATAAGAACCAAATTAGAAAGACTGTTATCATCAGTGATTTAGAAATGGTGATTTATAAATTATTTCGAAAGCATAGAAATATTTGTACATGAATTAATATTTTCGTATAATTTACAAATAGACAATTTGTACAAATAAAAAAAAATTAAATCTACCGGAGAAAGAACAAAGAAGGGGTCGGGGAGGTTTAATATTTTATCCAGTCATATGTCCTTTTCTGATATACAAGAAAATTGTTATTTAGTATTTACCATGCCGCAAATAGCAAATAGACGAATTTAATTAATTGAATAAATTAATTCCTGTATGAATGAAGATATTATACATGTTTTGACGTATATTGTGCAACTAGAATATTTCTATTAATCTTTCTTTTTTTGTTTTTTTTATTTTCTTTCTTTTTTCTTGTAAGGTTTCCAGTGCATTGTTTCAATGCATGAACAATATCATAAGATTTTTTTTACATGTGTGTAAGACCCCCCCCCCCCCCCCCCCCCTTTCGTAAACATGGCATATCACAGGATGATCTAGTTTTGGAAGAAATTGACATGCTTTTCGTGCTTGCACGTTAATTTCAGGTATTCATGGATTAAAGTGTGCACTGTCATAACATTTGCGACCATTTTTCCATAAAACAATTCTGTAAGATTTTGTTTGAGACTACTATGTACCAATCTCAAGATTTTCTGAGAAATCTCAGATTTTTTTCTCAGCTGAGTCGGAAAAAACTTTGGTGGCACGCACGTTTGAGAAAAATCTCAGATTTGAGAAAAAACTCAAAAGATAAGTCTGAGTTTGAGAAAATATTTATTTGGTGGCACAGTTCGGTGAGAAAAACTCAAATTTTCTGAGAAATCTCAGATTTGAGAAAATCTCAGCGTTGGTGGCCCCGAAGCCTGATCTGCTCCTCTCTACATAAACCCTTGATTGAATAGGCAGTTCGTCTCAAATTTATTTGACAATGATTCAACATTGATCAATGCACAATTAACATCATTATTGAAACCACGTTTCTTATTGGATCATGCAAACTTGTATGACACCAACCAGCGTGCGAGGTTTCTAACCCAGCCAAACACTGCCTATTCGGTCAAGGGTTTATGTAGAGCGGAGCGGATCAGAAAGTCTTGACTTTGAAAGATGCTTAACCCACAAGAAAATGACTTGTTTCGCTGTGTAATACTTTTATAAGAGAAAAAAATTGCAATTGTTTACCTATGTCCTATGAAACACATCGTTTAAGAACAACAAGGTCACAAATGATTTAATATATACAAAGTATTTTCCTATGAAAATGTAAGAATTTTTCCAAAGGAATTTTATATTGAAAACTGAAAAACATGTTTAGTTAATTGTGTATGATGTTTTATTTCATTTTTTATTTCAGGCAATCCACAGTGCCAAAATTATCTTCATTATATCGATGTTAATGATGAGCGGTTTCATTTTCTGAAATCTCAATGCTGCTTTCAAAATGACTTGGATGATGACATTAAGGAAGCTTTTGACATCATCTCAGACTATTACCGTCCTTCAACAATATTAGAAGCCAGAACTATGTATATTGCACTCAAAGATGTATTGGAACACCAAATATATCATTAATTTTTTTGCTTTTTTTTTTTCGGGTATTTTATATCCTATTCTTATAATTAATAATATATTCTATAAATTCTGGGTTGTGTATGTTTAATTATGAACATCTGTTTGTACACATCAAGTACATGTACATTGTACATCATCAGGAAACATATTATATGGGATGGGAATTGTAAAACATGTACAAATGAAAAAAAAAAAAACAATAAAAAAAATATCAATGTATTGAATTTTAATTTATATTATCCAGTAGTTCTTTTAATGTTCTTTATATTACTTGGGAGTTTAACCAGTGAATGCAAATTTAAAGAGTCCTGCAACTTACTACTATGCCTCCCAGATAACAATTTCACAACTTGTTGACAATGTGACACTACTGAAGAGTGCTTAAAAAGTTATAATGTAAATACTTAAGTAAGGCATTTCTAATGCTCAACCAAAATTTGAACATCGGTCGTCAAGTTGTAAGTGAGATACATAGCACACAATTCTTTGTTATGTAAACAAATCTCGAGTTATGTTTTTGTTTACATTTTGAATTTTCCAGGTTTAGACCTAAAATGAATCCGACAAATGCTAGAAACTACTTGTTTATGTTCAAAACTAATCAGAAGAAAGAAAAATCAGTTTGAAAAAGATCTTTTTTCACTATTTTGACCAAATGGAAACAAAAACATGACGGGAGCCTTGTTTACATGACAGAAAAATTTGAGATCTGTATCTTGCTCATATCTGTAACTGACGCTCAAAGTTGGTTTATAATTAGAAATGCATTTTAAAGCATTGTTAAAAATGAAAGCAGAAATATCAAATTTGACCATAAGCGAGACCATGCCGCTTGATAGTAATGAAGTTGATGTTCAACTTGACTGAATTTCAAACGAAACTTTTTGGCCAAAAACTCACGTTCTAACCAAGTACAACATGATTACAGTGAAGCACCATGTATAAGTGATTTTGGTTGGTTATTTCAATACATCTACTTAACTTACCAATGCATTCATAAAACTTGCTTTAATGAAGTATGAATTTATAATAAAAAAAAAGCTGTATTTGAGTTTTACTGTAAGTCCTTCAACCTAGATTAAGCAATATAATAATATAAATAGATGTTGGATTAACGATATTTGAAAGTGATTAATACTTGAATGAATCAGATTCTGAAACTAGGATTAGTGAACTGATACTCTGTAAAGGTCAAAATTTCAGTATCAAAATAAAAAAAAAGTTAAGGTGTAATGGGATGCCTCCATATTTTGGATATTGTTCTGATCAAAATATACCAGAAGAATCAAGTATAATTTTATGAATCATTCCTTACCCATAATTGTTACCAAACGGTATATAACAATCGGTTTGTCTACAAATCTTTCATGTCACGAGTTCCAATACTGCTGGGGCTTTTATAATTTTGACTTTTCCAAAAATATTTTAAAGACTCTTTTTGGTCAAATAGGTACCATTTTAAAATTCTAAAAAGGTGTATTTTGATCGTGTACTTTTATCCACATTAAAGTGGATTTAGTGAAAAATTCCCTTTGGGGCGATGGAGAACAAAAATAATAGTACATTGGTTATATCTGACCTTGATTCATTTTTAATAGTTCCTCTGTCAAGATACCCACTTTTTACATTCAATTTGAGGATAAACAGTTGATCACTGATATAATAATAAGATATAATAAAGAAGAAAATGAATATTGTGTTATTTCTTATGTTTATTAAATTGTACAGGATCATTCCAAACATTTCCAAATCCATGCATTGATAATATTTTCTGTTTTTTTTTTCGCTCTATTAATGGTTGATACAAAGCAGCCATATTGCTGTCTATGGAAAAAAAATCTCTGCTCATAATGATATCAAATGCTCAATAATGAAAAATGGTACTCTATACAAATGTGATGGGGAAAAGAAAAAAAAAACTGCTACAAATTTATATTCTCTTGTTACATGAGAACATCCCCAAATCCAGTGAAAGTTTCTTCTGTGGCAAAATACTAAAAAAAAAGAGAAGAATAAATTTCCTCATGTTATTTCATTCAAATTTTGTATCAATTCTTTTATGAGACTTAATTTATGTCTGTTCATGCAAAAGCAATTCTTGCTTGTGTTCAACTTTTCATTACAAAATGATAAAGAACCTTACTTTGTGATAGCAATGTATATGCAAGTATAAAATGCATTTTCTTAGTGGGCATTGTCAATTCTTAGTGGGCATTGTCAATTAATGATGGTTTCTGAAATACCTACCCCTTCACGCAGGTATAATATATTTGGCAAGTCCCCCACTTTCACTTTGAAGTTGTTTTTTAGTTCATAAATGTGCGGGCAACTGGGGTTAGGGCAGTTGGTGGGTGTGCGACACTCCAAGTGGAAAACGGGGGGGAGAATTTCAGGATCGACCTCCACGCATATCCAGCTGAAAACGCTCTGAAAAGAATATAAAATAATTACTTAATAATAACTTGCACGACTCGTTGTACTTTGTGTTGATTTGCACTGCATTAATTACTCATTATAATACAATTAACCTTGCAAGTAAGTTAAAAATTTAAATCCAAATCATCAAATCTATTGAGGGCAAACAGGGATTATACCTATAAGATTTATTGAAAGGGCAATTTAAAGCTGAACCCTACTCGTAAATGGGCACCATCACACAGTTATATAAACCATTCAATTAAGTTACACCCAATTGCACACATGAAACTCGACGTGTAGTTTTGATGTGTAGTTTTCCTTTCGTGGTCTTTGGATTTTATGCATTTATTTCTTTTCTATGTACATATTCTATTTCTAAATATTTACACTTTCAACTCTCTTTGTCTGTGATAACATTACATTTTGAAGCCTATAGCCCAATAATTTCATAACAAGAGGCCCATGGGCCTTATAGGTCACCTGAGTATCATGCAACAACTTTCCAACAATTGAATTTGATTCATGTCTTAAACTAGAGGCCATGAAATTTACAATTTTGAAAGAGGCACCATTGCTTATCATAATTATACACTCAGCATGCTAATTTTGGTTACTTAAAACCCAGAGGTAGATCAGAGCAACAAAGAGAAAATGCATTTCCACTTTTAGTGAATTTCATGGCCCCTGGGTCAGGGCTTCTTATGTTAGGGCGGGTCCATAGTTGAGCTCCCCATCCCACAGGAACCACTGACCCTGGGGCCACATCTTTCGAAATTTTGGAAATTTTTAAAAATTTTATTTCATCATGCTGTTGATTAATACCAAAGTGCAAACTTCAAAGCATTAAATTATTTCAGACTATGTTACCCCCCCCCCCCACCCCACAGTACCTCTGCCCCAGGGGACAGGAAATTAATCATTTTTGGAAGAAGCAGTTTTTTCATAAATATATACTAAGATCATTGGCGTTATACCAAATAACAAAGGAAAAGATTTTCAAAGAATTCAAGCATTTTCACTATATAAACATCAGAGCCCCCCACCCCCCCACCCCCTAACACAAGAATCTCTAACCCAGGGACCCTGAAATTCACAAATCTCAAAGAGGCATTCTTCCTCCTCATAACTATGTACATAGTTTATTGGTTAAATGCTCAGGTGCAGAAAAGAAGAGTTTTAAAGAATTTATGCATTTTCACTATATATTCAATAAAGCCTCACCCTAACGCCAGAATCCCCAACCCAGGGGCCATGAAATTCACAATTTTTGAAGAGGTAGCTTTATTCAACATAATTAAGTACTTATGTAATTATGTGGTTAGTTTATTTAGTACTCAGGAGCAAAGAAGAAGATTTTCAAAGAATTTATGCATTTTCACTATATAATCTATATAGCCCCACCCTAGCACTAGAACCCCTGACCCTGGGGCCATGAAATTCACAATTTTGGAAAAGGCGGTCATTTTCAACTTACCTTTGCACTTGGTTAGTTTATTTAATGCTCACAAACAGAAAAGAAGAATTTCAAAGAAATAATGCATTTTCACTATATAACCTGTTTAGCCCCGCCCTAGCACAAGAACCCCTGACCCTGGGGCCATAATTTCACAATTTTGGTAGAGAACTCAATGCTGATTACGATCATACCAACAGTTTAACTACTTGATGTCCAGGAGTAAAGAAGAAGATTTTTAAAGATTGCACTAATTTTAGTGGTTTTTGACCAACTTCCCAGGCCCCAGGGGGACAGGGACCGTGAAATTCACAATTTTTGTTCCCCTTCACCCATACATGCTATATGCCAAATTTGGTTGAAATTGGTTCAGTGGTTTCAGAGAAGAAGCTAAAAATGTTCAAATGTTAACACACGACGACGGACGAAAACAGATAGCAATAGGTCACCTGAGTTTATCCATTTAGCATAACATTTGATAATTTCATCGCGACCAAGTAACACAGCGAGGCAAGTGGTACATCCACACAGGTGAGACCTCTACAGCAAAATACTTAAAACTGTAAGAGGTCTGCGGCTTATATTTGGGCTGTAGAGATAGTGGCGATGAAATAGATATACGGCTGTCAATACCTATTTACGAACAGTGTTACGCTTTAATTAATTATATGAACTTATTAAACTCTTCATTATTCACAGGCATTGCTCATCAATGTGTATGAAAGTGAAAATTAAAAACCATATATATTCTCTGGTATTTATTTTGTAAATTAATATAAAACTTTTTCTTCTTACACTGATGATAACAATTTGCGTACCTGTCAAACTTAAAGATTCCATATGTGGATCTTCAGCCCATCATGTTAAAAAGTGTGATGTGTATTAGCTTGAACCCCCTCCATTCTATTTGACATACCTTTACTGTATCATTCAGTTTGAATGGCCTGTTAATTGCAAGACCCCCATGGCTCTCGTACACAACGCAGAGTTGAACCTGGGGCTCATCTTTGGTTGGAAAGTATAGGAATGAACTCTGTGCGAACTTCAAAAAGAAATCTATAGTTTAGTTTGAAATAAGTCCAACATAAAACATTTATAATTTCTTCTTTTTTTTTGAGGGGGGGGGATATTTTTACCATAATTAAATTTTATAAACATTTAGAATTGAAATAAATGAAAATTAATTATCCATTACAGTTTGACAGCTCCACTGATTCTTCTGCTTGGATAATCAAAAATTAATTTTCAAAACCTTGTACATATTAAGACATTTGAAAGAAAAGCCAACCAACATTGACAAATACTAGAAAAGCATTTGAGAAATGCCTGCAATTTTCTAGAAGATATAAACTTCTGTATTTCACATGTCAAGTTTCTTCCATGAATAGCACCTAATTATTGTGATCTTTACTGTTTTCCAGGATAGAGGGATGATCATTTTATCATGTTGTCTTGATTCAGAAGATCAAGTTTTTTCCTTTTAATTAGTTTCATTATTTTTATCAAAAACAGACTTAATTCAAAAATGAATCTTGAACATATTTTACAATACTTTTCAATTGATATCATTATGATCATAAAAAAATTGCTTGACAACTGAAATATCACACCATATCTAATTACTAGTTTATAGTTTGCACAAATGCATGGAAACTTGATTTACTACTAGCACAGTAACAGTATAAACTTTGTATTTTAATTCTTACGAGCTGGACACACACAGTACAAACCTATGTCAATTATGCTTACCAACTGCCTTTCCTGCTTCTGTTGCATCATCTGTAATAATTCAGGGAAAATATCAAAATAAAGCAAGCAGGGAAAGATGTGGAGCTTATATTGTTTTTCTGGACACCACACAGGCTAAGGTCAGTAGCTGAGAGAAAGAGAAAGAGAGAGAGAGAACAAGCTAGCATTAGAAAGAGAATACAGAGGGAAAATCGGAGAGGAAGAGAAAATACAAACCTCCTCAAATTCTTTCATAATCTCATCATCATCATCTCTCTGTATAAATAGATAAACATTATGTGTATTCTAAATTTTGAAAGCTTTATGGAATCATATACAGGAAACTCTTGATGGCTCAAAGTTCTTGATCGCTCGAAATGAGTCTAGGGTCCTGTTATTCATAATCTATTGTTTTTTACTATTGATACCTTGAAGTGGCTGTGTACAGGCACCTAATTAACACCTACTAGGTCATTTAAATGGCCCCAGGCGTTAGACACGGGACCAGAGTAATGGGTTGTTTATTCAGGTGACACTGTCATGCTTGATCATACCTTTACCTAATCTAAAATTAACACCGACTGTCTTACGATAATTTGGAGAAGCAGTGAAAAGTAACACCCACATTTCTACCATTCATGTAAAACACCTTGAATTAAGTACACATGTACCTTTATAAAGTTTAAACATAGGTAATCACAGATTACAAAGCTCACCGAGACGAGGCATCACCTTTATGAAGGGGAAGCATCACTTTTTTGAGACCAACTTTATCATATTATATAAAAATCATTGTTAATGATCTTGGATATTCATGGATACTGTTTTGACACAATATCGTATTGTCATATGTTAAAAAATTGCATGATAACCATATGTTCATTTTATAGTATTATAAGATTCAATGTTTATCAATACAATAATATAAAATATGATATTGCATCCTATGATACAATTTATATCATATTATACAATATAATACTGTTATAAATAATGATCCAATATGATATTGTAACATATGATATGACATTGTATCCTATTGTATACATTATTGTATTTGATCACATTATACAATTTATATCATTATTTATGATACAATATAGTATTATATGATACAATATCATATCACATAATACATCACAATATTGTAACATATGATATTAAATTGTATAATATAGTATGATATTATATCATATTTGATACATTATATGATATTGTATCAATTGATACAATATAATTTGATACAACATTGTATCATATCATATGATACAATATCATGTGATATTATACAATTATGGACTCTTTTGGTGTTGAATATGGTTTGTTATTCACCAAAAAAAATATTCATATTGACTGAGGCGAAGCTGAGGTCAATATGGATATTTTTCTGGTGAATAACAAACCATATTCAACACCAAAAGAGTCCATAACTGTTTTATTATATAGTCGGGATTTGAATAGATAAGACATTGAAGGCTGTTTGACGACACCATTTTCATTTGCGATATTCCAATGTTGAAAATAAAAAAAACATCTCCAGATTACTGTTTGTAACCTTTTTGATGAAATGTTTTGAAACTCACAATGTATGGATATATTAGTAGTATCAACAAGATGACGTGGTCAAAATAGCAAGATCTTACGCGCATGCACGTGTGCTTCGCTCTGATTGGCTGAAACTAAATTCTCAATATCTTTCTTGTTTTACGTCATAATCCTTTGAAATTTTGAACATAGTCATACATTATGAAGATCTACAGCATGAAATATAAGAATTATCATAAAAGCATGTTAATTTACGTGTGCTGCAATCTGATTGGCTGAAGCTTTAGATGCCTATAACTTTGTTGTTTCTCAACAGAACAGGATGAAATTTAGAATATGAATAGAAATAATGAATTCCTACATGATACTACTATCAAGATTGAATGCAAGGGCGTGCTTGCATGTATTTGCGCAAGTGCAATGCGAAAAATGAACAATGTATTTGAAAAACGGTAACATTTATATTTTTATGACTTTTTATTGATTCTTAGCTATATTATAGAATATAAAGATATGTTAATAGTTTAGACAACATGCAATGATCACCTTGCATGTGTATGCACGTGCGTTTGCGTGCAATGCGTTTAATGACAAAAAATATCATTGTAGCTTTTAAATTTTTTTTTATGAAATCCTGCGATAACTGAGCATCTTAAAAAAAAAGTTTTAAAGGAAATTGGCACAAAAAGGGAGTTGGGGAGCGCTTGGGGAACATCTGTAACGGTCCCCGTTACAATTAGAACTAGTTTATATTATAGTTAAATCAACTATGCAAGTTTGAAATAGTACAGTACTATTACCTATAAAACATGTGACCTGTTCCAAAAAACAAAACCTCATCCAGCATCCGAAACCTATGGCTCAGATTCAGCATTCATGCCTGTCATGTGCATCAGTATCATAAGACGCATCATCCATGCAAGTTTGGTGAAGTTAGGACCAGTAATAACTAAGATATAATCATCAGAGGGCACCTGCTCCCAAAACTTTAACCAGCTCCAAAAACCTTAACCTCCTCCAGCATCCGAAACCTATGGCTCAGATTCAGCATTCAAGCCTGTCTGGTGCATCAGTGTCATAAGACGCACCATCCATGCAAGTTTGGTGAAGTTAGGACCAGTAGTAACTTAGAAATTGCTATCAAAGGGCACCTGCACCAAAAATTTTAACCTGCTCCAAAAACCTTAACCTCCTCCAGCATCTGAAATTCATGGCCCAGATTCAGCATCCAAGTCTTTCAAGTCCATAAGTAGGTCCAGATGCATCATCCATGCAAGTTTGGTGAAGATAGGACAAGTAATAACTTAGATACTGGACCTGCAACAAAAACTTTAACCAGGTCCGGACGCTGATGCCGACGCCAGGGGTATAGCATAAGCTCCCCCCGACTTCGTCTCGGTGAGCTAAAAATTAAAAAAAATAACTACCTTATTCTCATCTGTACATTTGCCTTCATCTGTGTCCTTTAATGGTAAAGTAAGGGACAAAATTTAACATGTGAATATTAATGTTTCATAAATAAGCATAAGCTTCTGACTTGCTTCGCTATACATAAGTGTGGATCGAATCAGAGACTCTTGACTTTGAAAGATGAAATGTACATTCATAATGTCACACATACCGTTACAGGAATGTCTGGCAGATCTGAACTGTCATTCTTAATCTGCAAAATCGGAATAGGTAAATCCATTATCTGTCTTCTTTTACAGGTATATGAATTTAAACATATAGCATGCTTTTCCAGATAAGAGTGAATATGAACAACTTTAAATCTAAAAGACAGCGAAAAATTTCATATATTAACATTTATTTATTTGTATTATCCAAACATTAGTGGTTTGTTTGGCTACATAACATTTAAACTTGATCCAGGGATTGTATACATTAAGTTTAAATTGCTCAAGGCACCATACACCCCTCCCACTGAACAAGATGTCCACTGGCCACATCGCTCACCTGAGCAACAAAAGCCATTATATAATCAGCTTTATGGAGTCAAACATAAATCTGGACAATGAAGTAAAAGACATTTCACTCTAGATATTTTTATGTTCAACATATAGCCCCTACTGGATCAAAATGATTTCATTGTAGTATCACATTAGTTTTAAAGAAATGATTTTGAAAGATTTTTTTTCTACGTAAAATTTTGACCCTCCATTGCGGACTCAACTTGAACTCAACACTACCTGGGAATGCTTTCACACAAGTAACAGCATTTCTGACCTATAAGTTTTAAAGAAAATATTTTCTGAAGATTTTTCAATCATCATATATTTTTATGTAAAAATTTGACGCACCCTACCAATGGGGACCATGAATTTAACAATTTGAATCTACACTACCTGGGGGTGCTTCCACGTATGGCTCATGGCCAAATGTTTTATGAGAAGAAAATTTTTGAACCCCCCCCCCCCAAATAAATTTTCAAAAATTCCTAATTATCTCCCCTTGAGAGAGGGTGTGGCTCTTCACTTTTAACAAACTTGAATCCCCCTCACCTAATGATACCTTGTACCAAGTTTGGTTCTGGGGAAGAAGATGAAAATTAAAACTGTTTACAACTTTGACGATGACAGACAACAGACAAATTTTGATCAGAAAAGCTCACTCAAGCCTTTGACCCAGGTGAGCTAAAATTGTCAAAATAGTTTCTTCTGGCATAATGGATTGGTATTGTGAGTAAATATTATTTGGTAAATGTCAACATTTACATGTAAAATTTCTGTTTGCTTGGTTTTTATCAAACAAAAAATCTTGGTAAAACTTCTATGATTATTGTTTAAAACAACAGAAATTCATTGTTATTATAATCTTACTGGAGATTCTTGAGGACTGGCTGTACTGCAGACACCTTTTTTCTTTTTCTGTAAACCAAAAAAAGTATTTAACTAGAGTCACTGAATCTTTAGATAAAGTAGGAACATCCAATGTTTCTCCACAAGAGAGGTATAACGCAGACACAAATCATGAGCTTTTTTCTTTCGATGACATTGAACATGCCCAAATGACAATAGGTCAAATCATGATCAGGAACACCCTCAGATCATAAGCAATCTTTGTGTGAAGTAAGAACATTCAATGTTTCTCCATAAGAAATATATGGACTAGACACGGTTTCCAATATACATGTAGACAGACAGACAGACAGATAGACAGACAGATATGGCAATTCCTATATTTACCACCCCCCAAACTTTGTTTGTGGAGTTATAAAAACAAATAAATGATGAAAATATCAATAAAACAAACTCAAGCAAAACCTACATGTATGTAGAATGTAATTGTTTAATTGAACTTGAATAATGATATAAACACTTTGTTACCATGGAGTGGGAATGGAGCGTTGGCATATCTTCAGTGTCAGATGCTACATGTACCTATATTAATGTAAAAATATAGGAACTCAACATCAAATCAAACCCAAAAGGTCAACTAATAAAGACTGCAAAAAAACTATAAACTGTTTAAGCAAAACATCACTAATGGTTATAAAAACTGACAAAGGTTTAGAGGCTTTAAAATTATGCATTAACATTTTCATGCTTATGCGCCTCTGAAAGTCTAACCTCTTGTCATAACATCACTTAAACATAAAACGCAATGGTTTTAATAGGCTGTATAAAAATGTGGTTTTATGGAAATTATTAATTTACCCATTTAGATCGTTTTCTTTCAGGTGTACTAGTCTGTGGCAAATTTTCTGTCTTCTTTTTTCTTTTCTTAAAAAAATAACAATTTTATTAAATCAATCAAGAAGTCAATAATTGATTGATAAAAGCATGAATGGAATTAAAATATACTTGTATATAGATGAAACATTCTATCTAATATAAAACAAATCCTTGCACAAAATATTATAAGTGAAACTCACAGGCTCTTCAAACTCGTCCTCTGAAGAATCAGACAGTATGATATCCAGACTTCTCTGCTTCTGTTAAAAATCAAAAGCATAATCAACCTAGTTTTTCTTGATGTGATAAATTGATAATAATTCCAAGGTAACACTTTGTTACCTTGGAATGAGAATGGAGCATTTGCATTTCATCATTATTAACAGATGCTACATGTACCTATATTAATGTAAAAATATAGGAACTCAACATCAAATCAAACCCAAAAGGCCAATTAATAAAGACTGCAAAAATGCTAGAAACTGTTAAACCAATACATCACAAATGGCAATCAAAACTGACAAAGGCTTTAAGGCCCTTTTGCATCACAATTATATACATGTACCGGTATATTCCTCAGAGAGCCAATCTAGATGTGAATCTAACATACTTCATTTTACGAGGTCGGTTTGCGTATTCTGGAGAAAGTCTGAGGCAAGTAAAGAGACAATATGGGTAGTAAATTGCATGAAGAATTTACTGGTACTATTTTTTTTCAAAGATTTTTCATATAAATCAGTCCAAAACTAGGCACATTTTGTGCACAATAAATACACAATTTTTCAATTGAGGCACTAAAGCCCCAAGGTCATGCATCCAAAATTTTTCCAGACCGGGAGCTACAAACCTGCAACTGAAAAATGTGGTTCTTAAAAAAAATTACAATTTTATTAAACCAATCAAGAAGTCAATGATTGATTAATAAAGGCATGAATGGAATAAAATATACTTGCATATAGATGAAACATTCTATCTATAAAACATGTCCTTGCACAAAATATTACAAGTCAAACTCACAGGCTCTTCCAACTCGTCCTCTGAAGAATCAGACAGTATGATATCGTGACGTTTCTGCTTCTGTTAAAAATCAAAAGCATAATCAACCTAGCTTTTCTAGATATGATAAATTAATAACATTTAAATAAATCAAGAAAATTGTACATTTTTGAACTGGCATCTAGATCATCAATAAACTGACTTGGTGGCTGACAATAATCAGATTTAAATAATATTAACATATTGCTCAAGTATTTCTTGGATACAATGATAGCTCTTGGTTTTATAATCTTGTTGTTTCCTATTATATGAAGCCATATATTGAGATATGGCATCAAACATTCATTAAAGGCAACCTTTGAGTGTGACATGATAATGATTCGGAGTAATGATCCATTCTTTCAGGTGAATTAATGTGAACCAGATTGGCATTAACCAGAGGGGAAAGAAACATGCTAAGGACAATGTCATCACAAAAAGATATGCTATAACCTTGGAACTTTAACTGTAAATTCTGTAAAAGGTCATAGCAAATATGGTTTAATGTTAATGTTTGCATATCTAATGACTCCCTCTCCCCCACTAAGACAAGTTATATTGCGCATTAGAAAAAAATAACAATTCAATTTGCCATTTCAAACCACCAAATGAATAGACATATAGATTATCATGTGGCATTTTTTATTTCATCCTATATTGGTGAGATGTTGGCAAAAGACTAATGCCCCCTCCCTTAAAGACCTCTGCAAAGAAAATGAAAGGAAACAGCAAATACATGTAATTGGAATATTTTTAAGTCCAAAGGGGCATAACTCTTTCAAAAATTGCTCATTTGTACCCAAAATCAAACTCGACTTAGATATTAGTACATGTATATCAAATTTCCGTATGTACAACCTCTGCAAAGTAAATGAACAGTCACTGTTGGTAGATCGACCTACAGACAGACGAACAGCAGCAGAGCAATATGTTCTCCCTTCTTCCAAGGAGATAATAAAAATGCCTTGTCCAATTTTTATGAAAATAAAATATGTATTACAGAAAATAATAATGGAAATGTAAATGATTATTTTCAACAACTTTGATCCCATGTAAAGCCCATTCCTGACCCCTGGGGGTCATGATTTAAAACAAACTTACCGGTAACTTAAACTTTAAACAATTCATTTATTTAACTTTCCGGTATATAAATGATTTAAGTATTTTTGGCTCTTGTAAAAACAGATTTTTAAAACACCCCAATACACATTCCTAATTATTTCCCCTTGGAAAGGGACATAATGTCCTTCATTCAAACAAACTTGAAAGCCCTTCCCTAAAGAATGCTTTCTGCCAAGTTTGTTGAAATTGACCTGGTGGTTGTGGAAAAGATAAAATGTGAAAAATTTACCACATCAATGGCGAAGACTAATAAGAGACAAAATTTGCCCAGAAAAATTCACTTGAGTTGTTGTACATACCAGAGATTCTTTGGCTGAGGTGGTCTTCTCCTTTAGAATAAAAAGATTACCTTAATGAGCATTTCAATTTATATGTACTTACAAAACATGGGTAACAATTTCATTTCAAATGTTTTTCATCCAATAAAATTCTGTTATTTCCTATTTATCCTATTTGTACTTACTGGAGATTCATTTGCTGAAGTGGTCTTCTCCTTTAAAATACAAACATTATCTTAATTGGCCATTTTTATAATGTACATTACCCTTGTAATAATTTCTTTCAAATGTTTTTCATCTGGTGAAACTTTGCAATTTTTCTATTTTTACAATTAAAGAGTACTTACTGGGGATTCATTGGCTGAAGTGGTCTTCTCCTTTAAAATACAAAGATAACCCTTAAGTATATAACAATTATATTATAGGTATGTAAAACTTTACAAGGTTTAATGATAATTAAGTTTAACAGAACATATTTAACGATTAAGTAATTGAAAGATCTTTAATATCAAATGTGCTATAAAATTGATCAGATAATCACTCTGAAATTCAATCCTTTGTAACATAAATACAATTTATGATGAAACAGTTACTACAGTGTATTTGCTAGTTTCTCATTGAAAGGGTGTTACTTAATTGTTTCACACTTTTGATTTTTCAGTTTCAATCACACTTTGCAAAAGAAGGTATACAATACACACTATAATAGACGATCTCTAATTGAATTTTTCAGAGATACATATAAATTGTTCTGTTTTGCTGCTAAAAAAATTAGCAGTTTCGCTAAAGAATGTATCATGGAAGAATCAATAGAACTTTCATAGTATGTGGAATTGAACAGCTGGTATGAACAGTCTTATATTTTTTTTTTTCACATATATATATTCATCATTCATTAAAACTTTTACATGACTTCAGCAGATGTGTCCTAACAAGGTGATTTCCCTCTTCACAAGGTACTTTTAGTATTTGTTTTCACTTTCATTGACCCTTTTTTTTTTATTACTCTGTGTCAAGATTGGTTTAAAAAAAAAAAAACTATTTTTCTTTTGCACAGCTTTTCATTTCCACATTTTCTACATTTGCAAACAATCCAAACTTTAAATAAAAATCTTAATTCATGCAAATAGTACTTCCAAACAAATAAAGAAAGTCAGTAGAAATGAAATTGTTAATTTGGAACTTTTTTCATTTGCTTCTAGGTTTGCTTATCCTGCATACCTGCTTTAAATATCTTCTGTTTCTTAATTACATTTGGGACTAATCATCATGATCAAAGGTACATCCATGGAATTGCAGAGTTAAAAGGGGATAGCAGGAAAGATTCTATATTCTTTATCGTGGTTTGTCAGTCATTCCTTCCTAATTTATTTTCTATACTTTTTCTTTATGGTTTATCAAACTCATTTAAGCTTTTCTTGCATATTTTCTTTAATCAAGAGCCATTTTCAAATTGTTTTCATGATTCTGCGGCACTAATTTTTTTTATAAATGTTCTAACAATTTAGTATTGTAAAATATATATAAATCAATCTGTAGCTTCATGATTCCTGTCAACTATAACAATTACTTGTTATCTTCACAGTAACTGCAAAATTACAAGAACTTATCTTTGTATTAAAAAGTAGCTGATTCTGGTTCATTTAAGAAATACATGTAAACAGCAATGTTAACCATTTAACCCGGATATGAACTTGGTTGGTAATGAATATATAAAAAAAATATAAAGGGAAAAAAATCAAATCCTGAACAAAAGCAATTTAACTTTATATGTAACCAACAGTACAAAATTATCCTTACTGTGATAAGATTGTTAACAATTTTTTTCCGAGCTGTAATTCAGTTTATAACAGCATTATAATGACTTCAACTAATGTATAATGTATTACACAGCATTAATTTTATAATGTGCAACATTATACCGTAACTTAAAACATGCATATATTTCAAAAAGCACAATTACTTTCAAGCAAATCCCTGCACTATCATACGTAATATCACACACTGAAGAATTATATATCATAACACACACGCACACCCACCCACCCACACACATGTATTTAACACATTGTTCTTTTCTTATAGAAATCAATTACAATTACTTACAGGCATGCACTTGAACAAAAAAACCAAAATGTTTCCTCTTTCCCTTCGATAGGTTCTTTAAATCTTCTACGCTTGTCGTATCTTTGAGTGCAATGAATTTGTGCTCTTTAAATACCATCGCTTCCATAGGAATCTGTGTCTTGAACTTTGCACTTAAGAGAGCCATCCACTCCGGGACGGCACTGGAAGATTCCACTTCCAGTAATAATGACGAGCTGCCATTTATCACCCTCTGCAGCCTCTTTCCACGGTTGTCCAAAAAACGGACTTCCAAAATCTGTTAATGTAATTAAAAGATTAGTAGTTAGTGCATTTCAATTACCAGGTAATTAAAAATAAATAAAATATCCCCTTTTTAATAGAACAATCATGCACAGTATACATGTAAAAAAGAAATATGCTATGATTACTAAATAGTTAAAAATGGAGGCCTTCGTGCATGAAATCAGCACATTTTATATTTTATCCAGCCTTTGCAAAAATGTTCCATGGAGTAAGATTAAAATTGACGGGATTCAGCTCTGATCAACTATACACCAAAATTGACCTGAAGATAAATATATACCATTGGTCTGAAGGACCAGTGTTGTGCATTACACCTTTTAAACATATTTTGTTTCCTACATACAGTATTGATAGCCTATTATAAATATCTGATCAAACAAAGACAAAATAGTTCATAAATAACTACACACATTTAAGCTGGATTCAATGATGCCTAATTTCTTACCTCCAACCCTGAAGATTTAGTGTGTCCACCTAATCTTTTGCTGGACATTTTTTTCTTACTATCCAAAAACTTGGCCTTTAAAAAGTCAAGTTTGGACTGTACCTCTGAAGAAGAAAAAATAGAACATTGCCCTTTATTGCATCTTTGATTTACCGTATGTAGTACGACTTAGGTTGAGGACAACATGAGAAGATTTTAAAAAATATGGAAAGTTCACATACTGACGAATAAATGACTGATGGACAACAGGTGATCAGAAAAGCTGACTTGAACCTTCGGTTCAGGTGAGCTTAAAATGGAAACTGAAGGCAAGAGTCTAAACTTAGCATCTACATAGTTCTTTTAGAAATCATTTAATTATTCAGATGTACTCTATATGTCTCCAGATTTTCTCTAATAAAAATTTGCATTGTTTATGAACATACAGCACTGGCATCATAATGTGACTTTTATCTCATAATTTACCAATAAAATATAATTTACTGTACCTTCTCTCTTCTTATGCAAAGATGGACTTCCTAAAGAAAAAGGATAGTCATGATAGATTTTACCTGCTAATATAATATATAATTTAAATGAATTCTTCTCTTTCTTTAAGTAAAACATATATATGTAAAATGTGCTGTCATTAAACAAATACAATTTCTAAATAATTATTCTTCCAAGAAAAAAGTTTTGTAATTTTGAATCATACACGGATATCATCTGTACTTACCATTTGGCGAGAAGCATCCTTTTGCTGACTCATCAAAAGCTGTATTAAGTATAAACAAAGTAGCATATCAAAATATCTATAGGTAAGCTATTCAAACACATACTTTGAAAATTAATAAAAGGTCACCAATTTGAAAATATTTACAAGGCTATGCATATATTTATTTATAATTAGTATTTTAGCACATTGTACTTTTGTATCTCATGTACATCTGCAGTATTCCTTTGACCATATTAAAACCGATATATGTAAGTTTCAGTAGTATTTATTTAATATCAAACTTACATTTTGATGGCCCTGGTTTGGCTGTGTCAGGTTCTGTTGTTACTGCAATATACATTAATTAACAATAAGTTACAAAGTGGGTTATGTACAAGACTAGTATATTATCTAATATGTACTTTATTTTTCATTGACCTACAGTATAATGCATCTCTAGCATAATACTACACTATCGTTATTACCTTTCCTTTTGACACAGACTGGGGCGCCACATGAACCACAAAACTTGTTTGTGGGGCCTAAAACCACCCCACATTCAATGCAAAACATAATTCTAAAAAAGAAAATATATAATGAACTGTATATAAAAAGAGGTCATAATATAATGACAATCAATGCTTATAATACCAGATCCAGTACAATCACTAGATATTGCTAGGTACCTTTAATTACCTACATAGCTTTATTTACCTACCTAATTATACTACTATGATAATTGATTGTTAATAATTCAACACAATGTGAAGTAATCATACTTATCGATGCCTTATCACACACAAGGTGGACTGGTATACATTTACTGATTTACAGTCAAGTCGTACACAGACCAACTCGTATACAGGTCAACTCGTATTGTTAGCCTATTTACAGAAAATGGATACTTATCACTGTTTTAGACAATGAAAGTCATCTTTTGCTGTAAAATATTATATTACTTAATCTTTTCTTAAATGATATCATCTGTTGTAAGAATATTTGTTAACGTTATATATATATATTAATTATCATGTTTAATATTTGACATAAATTGTATTTGATTATATATGCATATGAAATTTTTGTATACGAGTTGACTCTTTAGCATACCGGGAATTTTTGTATACGTTGTTTATTCGGAAATTTTTGTATACGAGTTGACCTGTATATGAGTTGGTCTGTGTACGACTTGACCGGACTCCCATTTACTCAAACAATATAAATGCATGCTTTGCTTAAAAGTGCCTAAAAGCTGCAATGTTTCATGCAACTATCTGTGTTCTGTGTTGTTATTTTAAAACTACATAGTAAACAACCTTGCAATTTCTTGGGGGTTTTTTTTCTTCCTTTAAATGCAAAATTGCACAAATGTATTTTCAAAAACCTACTTCAGGTTCTTCTAATTTTAAAGGATCCGTACTATCCTACTATTGAGATAAATTTACTTGAGTTTCCTCGTTAATATAATTGCTTCCATTTATGGAAAAATGAAAACAATTACAATAAATGATTATCAGTTATATGTTAATAAAGCTGTAGGAATAATTAAAAAATCTAAAAGAAATCAAGTTCAGAAATGACATTTACTGCTTCGTGAGGGTTTCAGTTTCACTCGTCAATAGATTGAGACCCGCTACAGTTTTAATGAGAAAGGAAAACAATCTAAATAAAATAAAAGAAAATTATTCATTGTGTACTTACATCGAACAACGATTCCTGATTGCAGTTATGTAGGCCTATATTGTAATACGACGGTAACAAGTTATCTAGATATAATCATATTTTCAAATCTTCGGAAGTAAATCCTGATCTTTTGAAATCTTGGGAAATTAGTCTTTGTCTTTTGAAATCTTGGGAAGTGAATCTTGACTGCGTTTGGAAGTAATGTATCTTGGCGCAATGCTATCTTGGCCGAATCTCGGTCCTATAAAATCTTGGGAAGTAAATCTTGACTGCGTTTGGAAGTAATGTATCTTGGCCAATGCAATCTTGGGATAGAAAATCATGGCCTAGTCAAGATGTAAAACATGGGATATATCTTGACTAAGCCAGGGTTGTCAAATCATGACTGGCAAAGATAAGAAGGCCATGTTATGCTATCAAACCAAACCTGACTTGGTCAGAGTTGCAATCATAACATGACCGATTGAATTACTATGAATATATAGAACATGACCGCCCAAGATTGAATCACTATGAATATATAGAACATGACCGCCCAAGATTGAATTACTATGAATATATAGAACATGACCGCCCAAGATTGAATTACTATGAATGTATAGAACATGACCGCCCAAGATTGAATTACTATGAATATATAGAACATGACCGCCCAAGATTGATTTACTATGAATATATAGAACATGACTTGGGAGTCCCGTGTGGCCGATCATGACTTGGCCGAGATTGTAAACATGACCGCCCAAGATTGAATTACTATGAATATATAGAACATGACCGCCCAAGATTGAATTACTATGAATATATAGAACATGACCGCCCAAGATTGAATTACTATGAATATATAGAACATGACTTGGGAGTCCCGTGTGGCCGATCATGACTTGGCCGGGATTGTAAACATGACCGCCCAAGATTGAATTACTATGAATATATAGAACATGACTTGGGGGTCCCCTGTGGCTTTCCATACATACACATGACACCGGAAAGGGGATCATTTCATAATTATACATATATAGAGGATATTCAATGTTTTGTAGATGAATATGGAATTTATTTCACGAGTGGGACAGGATTTTTTGATATTTTCACGACTGCGAAGCACGAGTGAAAATATCAAAAAATCCTGTCTCACGAGTGAAATAAATTCCATATTCATCTACAAAACATTGAATTTTCTGTTTATTACATTTTCTTTGATTTTCCCTTTGCCTCGGTCTTTTCTTAACACAGTGTCATAGGCTTGACGTCATAGTTTAGAAGTTGTGTGTCAGATTGAAAACATTACATAGCATGGATTTTAGCAATATATTTAGGAAGAAATTTGCAGTTTTAGCTCTATCAAGATGCTTAGTTACTATCTCTATCTTATGACAGGCCAGAAATTATTTTTTACTTACTTTGATATCCTTTCACACTGTGAGAGAATATCATTTCTGGTATTCTTTCACACTGTGAGAGAATATCACTTTTATTCAACAAATAAATCACAGTATTTCACTGTTGAAAATGTAATAAATGATAATTCATAATTAAAAAGTATCACTTTGAAAGGATCATGTGGCTTTGAAGGAATGCCCTTTTCAAACGAGGCATATATGTCAGATTAAAATACGGCTCCAGGATGCTGCATGTGCAGGTAGGACATTGTGAGAGTACAGTTTTCCGTCAAAGTCCTTTGATTATGATCCAAATCAGTCCTACGTATATAATACTGTTGCACTAGCACCACCTAACCTATCAACCTCCGAAGTTTTTTTTAAACGTTACGTTCATTACAAAGCTTATGCACGCTTACTCTTTCATCAGGCTTTGCAGTAAATAATTTGGTCTAGTATCTAAACCAAACTGTTCAGTGTTGTTGCTGTGGCCATATTCTGTTGGTCTGAGACCTTTGAATTCGATATTTGTAGTGTTGTGGGGTCAGAACAATGACATGAATAAGTCCTCTGGTGACAATTCCAGCAGCCCGTATTCAATCGCAAACACAGATATTCTGTGCACTTCAGGGTTAGCTACATGTAATATT